AATATTGAACTTTAAAACTTAACAAAATAATTAATGTACCTTCACTTAGATTTTCTCATGGAGATGTTGATGTAGCAAGTATTTTAAATATTACCACCCTTGCGTCACATAGAATATATAATGACTATGGATCTATTTTTGCATCTCTACTTTCATATTAATTACTAAATAATAAAATCAATTTATTGACTTTGTTTCTGTAATTATGCGAAAAATTCCATTGTAAAGTACTAGTTTATCTGATGAAAGTGTATTTTTTGTATCATGTTAAATAAAATTTAGGTGTGAATGCACCTTTGAGATCTTAGATTTTGTTACTACCAAACAATGATTTTGAGATGTATATGTAATTTGTCATTCACCCAAAGTATTAAAGTAACTAAATGTTTTTAGTCATAGTAAATCCTGTTATTAAAAGATTATAGCTCACAGAATACTTTCTAGTTTATGTAATGACAGGCGTATTGTAATTAACTTTGACTGTATAATTTAATTATTAAATGATTAATTATGCAGTTAAATTTTCATCCTTTTTGTCTTTTCCCACTCTAGATTTGACATTTGAAATCGTTAATTACCTACTTATATATAATTATTTTTGATACCTATATTTTTTTCATGTGACTGATTGATGTTTATGACTCTATTTCCACTTTATGTTTCTTGAAACGAGTGTCAACTGTATTAACTTCTTTGTAGTTTTAATTTCAAGAAAGTTGTAATTTAAATTGTAAAATGTAAGTGTTTAAATAAAATAATATGTTTTAAAGAGTAATAAGGAAAGGTCTCCTTTTCAGTCTTCACATATTTCTCAGAAGAGTCAAGCACATCTGGAACTGATGTTGATGCGAGGTAGGTTGCCTCCACACAGAGTTCGCTAAGTGTTAGAAAGAGGAGTAAAAATGGATCATAAAGTTGTAATAATTAATCATGTATGAATGCATGTAATGAATGAATCTGGTAACCTTATATAGATTATAAACATATTTCTCAAAATAATAATTTTTTAGGTGTAATTTTGAGTCAAATCATGACCGTTTTCCAAACAATATGTAAACAAGATTTTTGAGAAATATTTCAATTTTATTTCTTTACACATTTTGTACAGATAGAACACAATGCACATTTTGTGCAGATAGAACAATCATATGACACAATAGTCATTTTCATTCAAACTTCTAAATTTGCAAAAATTACACATTTTTATGCAACTAATTTTGTAACTTTTTTCTGTTTCAAAAAGGAAATTGCTGATATTTTGTGTACTTTATAGTGCTAAATTTAAAAATGGAACCAAAATGATCAGATATTTGAATTTAAATGGAATCAAAATGGTCAGTTGTCATTTTAAGTAATAAACATGATTATTTATTCTGCACTGTTCTCTTCCAAGTAGCATTATTTACATCTTATGTCCATTAAAGATGCTTTGTCTTGTCTTTTCATTTCTAATCGATCTAATGCAACCCTAGTCACTGATCAGGGTTGTAAGTTAGTAAGGATGTAATCCTGTCTTTCAAACACCAACAAAGTTCAATGAAAATGCTTGCTATGTTAATCAGAAACTGCATCCATGCAGATTTCTTTAAGTATACATTGCATGCATTCTTCTTAATGAAAGCTATTTGCATTCCCCCTATTTATTCATAGTTTGGAGAACAAGAGTTTTCCAGAAAATTAAAGGTAACTTTGCTGAATGAGTCTCATGCATTTTTTCTTAAATGACATTTGTTTGTCACAAAATACTTCTTTGATTTTGAGTCCTTCAAATATATTCTTCTTTTGTCTTAACCATACTTACCCTTGAAAGTTATGCAAGACAATATCTAAAAGAAGATCTATCAGTATTCAATACTTTTACAAATTTTGTCATAAGAACTAATTTGATATGTAAACAGAGAAGTAATTTTTTTTAACTCAACTAATGTGAGCTGTATAACAGAATGAGCAGATTATACTTCTCCCTCACATGTCACATATTGTTTTTACTGCCTTTTTGATGATAAATAAATCAAAAATATTTTTCTTGCATACATTCAATGTCTTTTGAAGATATCTGTCCTTCCTTTTGAAGTGTGAAATCTAAACTCAATCACCCCATCACCAAGAAAGCAACTGTACTTTGTGTATCCTAGTTGAAGTTCAAAGGAGATTGCAACTACCTTTTTCTTTATATACTGTTACATCATTCGTTACTTGTTTGTAAATGCTTTACATTGTTACAGCGATCATTACATATTTGCCAATTGTTCAGTATTAGAAGATACTTTATGTTTTGGTATGTGTCTCTTAAATTTAGTGTTTAACCTATGGAGCATGTGGCTGAACCTAAGAAAATCTTAACCTTAAAAGTTTCAGAGCCTGATGGCAAGGAAACCACAAAAAAAAAAAGTGACAAAACAATCCCTTGTGAGGAATATAACCTTGTGTCTCAGAATCTAAAAACAGCTTCCATATAGAGATGTATATACATGGATTTCATTAGCCAGATCTGTTTAACGTTCCATTAGGCTTATGGCACACTGGTCATCTCATGGTTATAGAATTGAGATATTAAGAAAATGGCAGAATGGAAGTGAGTTGGAGACTAACGCATTCTAACTCTAGATAGATCAAGATCATTTCCTGATAAAGTAATAGTGGAAATTGACGAGGAAGATATTACAATTTTTTAATGTTGCTAGTAGTTATAATTTCTTATAATAATTAATATTTTAACAATGTTAGGTTTGTTTGATAACAATGCCTTACATATAACAAATGATAATACATAATCTGCATATAATAACCTAACTGGAAGCTTATATCTGAAGTCAAATGATTCAAATAAATTGTTTACATGATTTAGCAGCAGCAAAATAATAATTATTTCTGAAATGTTTATTTGTCTGTGAGAGTAAAGAAATATAGTTCTTTAATTTTATTTTCATGATTGAATTTGTAAACAAATTTTAAAGATTTTAAATTATTTACATGATTGCCATTTATATAAGACAAACAATTCTTGTCACAATAAATTAATAAAATGGAAACTGATGAAGCTTTCTGTTTCTAACCATTTCACTACATGTTTTTTCATACAGAAATTCCGAATTAGTTTTGAAAACCTTAAAAATAATTAAAATTTATTGATACAATATTTGACTGCAACCCTCCTTCATGAATATTTTCTGAATTGAAAAACATTTTGCAAGCCAGCAGAATATTTTTTATCCTATCTTTTAGTGAATCTTATTTTATCTTCCGAAAGGGTTCTTCAAAAGTCACTGTTTAATTTTCAAGTGAACTTATAAACATTGCAGACTAGTTTTGAAAACAGTCATGAACAATGAACATAAAATGTAAGTTGCTATGCATATTATGGTTATTATTTCATTAAAAATTCAGCCTTACAGGCTCGCAAGACGGGTGGGCCAAGGTAAAAGAGGGCCTATTTTTAGGGGATATTTTTATTATTTAAGGTATTAATACTACTTGTGTTTGCTATACACTCTTGTAAAAAGTTTTGCAAGCAGGCTTGCACTCATTTCATTATGCTATTGCATCATTTACATCAAAATATTGTTCTAAATACTTTTGGCAATCTCTGTACATGGAGACCCTTTACATTTTCAGCAAGGTATTCTACGAAAAATCTTGGAAAACTAAAAGTTTTGATTTAGCCTTTGAAAGTCCTAAATATCTCACAAGATGATTAACTGACTTACATTGATTAGATGATTGACTTACATTGTTTAAATTATAATAATTTTTAATAAGATATTCACAATTAGGAACATAATATTAATCAGAAATCAAAGATTTAATGCCTGAAACCATTTGACATTGATCAGAGCAATACCCTACAATTTTTGAAACCTTTCTTGCCTTAGTAGCGTTTACATTGTAGATTTTAATTCACGATTTAATACATTTGTAGAAGAAAAAACTGCAAATCATCGCTTATGAAGTTTCTCTAAATCTAAAGAGTATCCGAGAATAAGTCAGCCCAAAAGGGAATGTTTTAAAAAAAAATTCATATGAAATTTTCGTGGAAAAGGCTTCAAATATTTTCTAAATATAATGTTCTATAAAAAAAAATGTAAATAGTTAATGAATTTTAATGAAAATGTTTTTATGGTTGTGGAAACTGAAATATTTTAAGCTTAATCAGTCTTTAACAAATTTAGTGAAACATTATTCACATGTAAAGTCTCAAAATAGATGAAAGGATTGTTGCCTATAGATTTACAAAAGATCAATTTCCTTTTTGGTGAGTCACTTAAAATTTTATTAGGAATTGGAAGTAATGTGTTGTCCTTCAAGCAATTTGGTGTAGAGTTTTTTGCAGGAAATGAATAAATTTATATAGTGGTATTAGTCTAGTGTAGTAGTAGCTTAGTGTATCAGTTATAAAATTACCACCCTCATTTTAGGTAAATGGTACTAATAATCTGAGAAAGTTTATACTATGTTGTAACACATTGGTTATTCAGTTCATTGGTTGGAAATTGTATGCCAGCTTTCTTAATTTCTTTTTGGTAAGTTCAGCAAATTATAAATAAAATGAAATTAATTTCAAACATAGATATTAAAAAGTACAAATGATTTTAAAAGATGTAAATTGTTACTTTTTTAATGATGTATAAATCGTCTTGGTGAGTTATGATGTAACACATGTAAGCTTCTGTGGCTCGATTCCATATTCTTGGCTATCCAGGAGATGCCACGTCATTGGCTGAGAGGATAGCCAAGAATTTTTTAGAGTTATGATGTAGAAAAATTCCAACTTGGTATCAACTCTTCAGTTTTAGTAACTTATAGTAAAAATAGGTACATAAATACTGTAACATTTGTATGGCCTGTGTCAGGCTTTGTCCATTTTGTGATTCACTTCAATCAACTTTTTTTTCCCATATTTTTATCTAATGTCATAATTAAAATGAATAAATACAAAAGAAATATGAGAAATCTGGTATTATATGTTATTTACATACAGATAAAATAAAAAAGAACTATCCTATTGTTAATTGCTTTTTATTTTTGTTTTTGCTACAATATAATTTTACATCTCAAGATGTTCTCTGAAATATATTTGATTTCATTAATAAATACATGACGATTCAATGTAGCCTATGTTATACATTTTCATGCCTTTCGACTTTCTCTCCAGTACTTTTATCCCTCTTATTCATGTATTTCAATCCTAACTTTTGAAATTTTTACTTACTTTGATATGCACCAAAGATTTTTCAGTTCCTTGAAATGAAAACAGCATTAATTTGAAAGTATTTAAACATAATATTGCATACTTTCAAGACACATTTTTATCAACATACAACATCTAAATGTGCAAATTCTGGTTGCACATATAACACCATTAAGTTCTGTCACATTGGTGACTTTGTTTAGTAATCTGTTGTTGAGTTGTTTTCATCACCATCAACAATAATTTAACTTTGAATTAACTGGACAGATTATTGAAAGAATATCTATTCTCTTCTCAGTATGTATTCTTGGTGAATAAGGAGAAAAATCTACATCAAAAACCAACATTTTATCATGTCTTTTACAGAAATGTCAAGAATGTATAATCATGTTGGACTGATTTCTGTGAATATTGATTTGAAAGTAATTTCACCAATGGAACAGAACTCTGCTCCTTTCACAGTTATGAAGCACACAACATTACAGTCTCTAAGTTTCTTTGCAGCATCACATTTTCATAAGAATCCTGGAAGTTAGCTCTTAATTCATTATCCTCCCCTTGTTTCACAACAATTACAATGATACAGAATCAGTAATGTTCTTTTGCCTCTTAGTCTACACAGCAGAATCCACATTTAAAAATACACATACACAACGTTCATCATTAACTGAACTTCCTTCATACACTTTCTAAATGGAAATTCTGTTTTGCACAGGAAATTGTTAATCTTGTGATTTCAAGTCAATGTAAACTTGTCACAGTAGGTATTCTACCATATGATGGGCTACAATGATTCATTTTTTGTATGGAAATAGGATATTCATTTTGAAAAAATCAGAATATATTGGAGAGAAGAATGAAAGAAACATCCAGTTTAATTGAAAAATTACTTCACATGCAAAAATAAAATTTATAAGTTATTCATTAACTAACACCAGAACAATCCTCCTTCCATCTATAAATCTACATCGCTTTTTATTACATACAAAAGCTTTTTTTCTTATGGCACATTTAGATTCTTATGATAAAGGCAATGGACCAATGTTGATTAGTGCTTCATGTTGTGAAGGAACATTGCATTAAAAATGTTTGTATAAGAAATTCTTGATACATTTCACAAAAATTAAACTTAATAAGTATGAAAAGGGGAGGAAATTCTTGAGTAGGAACTTAGGGTGCATTTCTATATTCAATCTTGTCAGGAGGGAATTATATTTCATGGCTGTGTATTAAAACATACTGATGTATCATTTAGAAGCAGGAACAATACCTACTGATGGATAATGTCCTATCTTTCACATTAAAATGAAGTTTTAAGATCAACATCACATTGTGTAAGTGTAATATTAATGTTTGTGACCATTGTTTTTAACACTTCACAAATAAAAGTACTACAAGTGCATAAATTCTGTCCATTGAAGATATGGTATTACTGATTTTCAATGTAATATACACTTGAAATACTTAATGTGAATAAACATTTCCTGTAAATTAAACTGTTTGTTGGTAGAGCCCTTCACATATCCAGAGTGAAGGTATCTCAAATTCATTATTTCTGAGAAACATTTCATTAAGTTTCAGAAGTATTGAAAAAGTGGATACAACTTGTAGAAAATGTTGGCTGTCCTGAACAACTTCAAAATGATAGTTTCATCTTAGTGAAACTCCAACTGTGGTCTCTTCTCAGTTGAATTTTCTTTGTTGAACTCTTGTACAGCTGATACAAATAGTGAACAGTCTGAAAAAAGAGAAGAAGAGATAATTAAAATATTTATCACTTTGAAAGAGTATTACATATACAAGACGAATACAGCTGAACTTTAAATAAATTCTCTTTTCAACAAATGATTTTGTTTTAAACTGATTGAAAAGTCCAGATTTGACCAATGTACTTTAAACCCCTTTTAGACAATAACTTCAAAAAATGATTGAGTTTGATCTGGTTAAAATTTTATTAAATTATCAGACTGACCTACAAAGTAGGAAATTTTGTAAACATTATTATAAGTACTGGGAGAAGTACACAACTCCGATGTCTGGATGAAAGTAACTAAGAAGAGTAGTCCTAAATATGAACATGTTATTTTCCATCTACACATGATTGATCACACACTGCACAGCTTCTTAAGAAAAATCGATTTTTCCATCTTTAAAAACCTATTATATTTCCTCATCTTTAAATTTATCCATCCCAAATTCTTACACCTGAGATTATTATGGTATAGATTAATATATCTCCAAAGCCTTGAAAATACTTTTACATTGCAAGACTGACACAAGAAAGTAAATTTTTGTATATTAAGTTAATTAGAATCAAATAATGTAGAATAATGCAAAAAATTACCCGGACAGACAGACAGGGCAAGGGCAGGCCGGGCCGGGCCATGCCTGACCGGACTAGGGAAAAGATACTCTGTAGATATAGCTATACACTATTTGTATTTCTTTTCCTGACTGAAAAGATGAGAATGGTAGATAAACATCCAGTTCGGTTTTAAACTTCCTTCGTGATTAAATCACGCATGTCCACTAGATGTTGTTATTAGTTAATGCATTCAATATGTTAATTAATGTAATAATTTGTAAGAAAGTATGCTAGTTTACTAAGGCAATTATTGTAAGTGAATTTATTTAATTATTATTGTTAAAAAATCAACAATGTTGTTATCCTTTTTTATAATTTTTATCACAGAATCAGCATTTAGCTGGATCCGATTTTTATCCCACAGGATTGTTAGTCTTGGAATTTAAAATGTTGATGATAGTAAGAGGTGAAAGGACAACACACAGACACACACGTACACAAACACACACATGCTTGAGGCGGGACTTGAGCCCACGATCTTCTGGTCCGGGATCGCTACGGCATTACTGCCTTAGCGATCTCAGCCATCTGATTAGCCAATAAAATATTATTACAAATATAATAATTATTGTTACAAATATAATAATTATTATTACACAAAGAATGATCCTGAAACCTATCTTACTACTTAGTACATCAAAAATATGCCTCTGACCATAGTTGTAGCCTACAAAATATATGCAAATATTCTCAAAAATAGACAGAATAAATATAATAACGAAAAATTGACAAAGAAAAGGAAAGGAAAAGGTATTGCAGACAATTTACACTCTAGACCAAATAGTAAAAAGATGTGAACAAAACTTGGCTATGTTTCTGCTCTTTGCAGACTACAAAAAACATGTCAGAGTGAACAGAAACATATTATGGAAAATCAGACCAGTCATTCTATCAGGCATTCTATTTGCAGATGACATGAAAATAATTCTTTGTGAATACATTAGAGCTTTAACAAAAAGAAGTAAAAATTGTTCTAGAGGCATTACCATAGTAAAATGATTCCAAGAGAACTAAATAATAAACACCAGAAAAGCAATGGAAACAACCAGTAATTCAATAGAAAATCATTTAAACATATGTTAATTATAGTTGGTACAATTTTAACATTTTATCTGCATGTATCATTTTCACAAATTTTCTTTGTTTTCTTACTATAAAGAGATTTATAATACAAAATATGTTGATTTAGGATCATTTGTGCTTAATGCCTTTTAAGATTCAGTCTTTCAAGAGTAAGCCTCTGTACATGCCAGTGAGGAGTTATCTGTGATTTTACATTCATTACAATACACTTACAATTGTGCCCAGTGTGAATGGAAGAATGCTGATGATGAATCTACAGCTGGATGCTACAGCAATGTTCCAGTGTCTGTCAAAAGAAAAAAAATACATATTATTTTTCTGCTTAGTTACTCCAAAAATGGAACATACTGTAAACAAATACTTATAAATGTCATGAAAATGTTTTCAGTGCTGACAAGAAAATTACATACCCATTTTTGAGCAAGGGGAACTATAATCCCCAGTGAAGACTTGTATTCTAACGAGATCCATCACGTAAATCACATGAATATACATGAAGATTGAATAACATGCTTTCTCAATATCTTCTTAAAATAATATTTTTCATTAAAACTAAAATAGTAATTTAGTATGAACATTAGGTGATTGTAATATATGCATCCTTATACAAATATTTTTTTATTTTGTTCATTCAATGTAATACAGTGAAGATAATTCTCTGCATGATATGTTTTGAGATGATCTAAGGGCAGTGGCATTTCTTTTCATTTGGTTCAGAATATCTTCATAGCAAGTTCCTCTCTCAGTTTAATTAATTTTGTATGCAATTTTGGGAAAAGTTCAAAAGACACTTATGATTAGAGACTAGACATTAGACAAAAAACCCATACTTTATGATAAGATATATCTAAAAAATAACAATTTTAATTCACATCAAGGTAAGGTTCAATACATAAGATCATATGACTATTACCACTATTTTTATTTAAGTAATATCTATAAATATCAAATTAGCTCATTTTCTAAACGAACTTCCTAATCCAGCAAAGTTTGGATATTTTTTAAATTTTTTGTATTACGTCAGATAATATGTGCACTCCCTATGTAAACAAGATAAAAGTATCTCAAAAATTAAAGAAATATTAACAAGATGGTCAAATTACATTGAAAATTTATGAGTGAATCAAAGAAAAATGTATTTATCTGGAAGAATAAGCGATAAAAGTAATAGTCAGGAATATTTAATTTAATGTGACATGGATACATTGTTAACAGAAATAACTAGTGGTGCGACAGAATGGCCCAGACTTTCCCGAATTAGTTTTCTATTCCCATTGGTCTCAGCTGGGTATTCGGACTTGCCACATACTCTTGCTAGTTGCCATCTATCGCGCCCAAAGTACATTTTTGACATTTTCTTAATTCTTCGGCTTCCTGATAGTAGAACGAAAATATTATTTTAAGGATATTAAAGAACTGTAAAACCTTGTCCTAAAAGGCAATTTTTTTTGAAAAAATTTGAGACGTTTTTAAGAACTGGTGTTTAAGCGCTACTGTAAATTAGAAATTTGAACCTCTTTTCACAGAAAACTTATGAGTTTTTGAAAAACACATGACGTCATTTCAAGCTCTTGCAGTCACAATACTGTTTACAAATTGCTGGAAATATGCATTTTAAAGGTGTGAGAGATCATCCAAAAAATTAAATTTGTTAATTTTTGGAAAACAATAAATACCTCAAAATGCACTTAATGTCATATTAAATAGTACAATTAGCACTATCCGTTCGAAAAGTTTGAAGAAAAATTAGGAGCTGATTTTGAGAAAATGTCGTTTGAGCGTTTCTGAAAATTGGGAATTTTGAGCTTAGTTTCACAAAAAGCAGTTGAGTTTTCGGGAAACTTTATCTCTCATTATCTAAGGAATATTTACTCATAAATACATTAATGTAATGAAATTTACATTAATGTAAATATTAACGATGTAAGAGACAAGTAAAAATAGACCAATATGACGTTTATGTTATCTTATAGAGTTGAGTTAGTACTATCCCATACCAAAAAAAAGGGGGAAAAAATGGAGCTGTTTTGGAGAAAATTTTATTTTTATATTTTTTAAATCGTAAATATTTAAGGCAATATTGTTTGAAAACTACCAAAAGTTTCAAAAAAACATACATGCCCTTAAGAAAAGAAATTCTATGGAGAACAAATTTTATTTGACGGAAAAATCTCTATCTCTAATTTTGTATTTATAGAAAGACACCTGAATAATTTTGTAATTTTAACCGTGGAAATCGGACATATGGCACCTTCATATGTATATTTCACTCTATTCTTACAAGAAATTTAATAAAAAAAGTTAAGTCATTTTGGAGAAAATTTTGAAAATGTGCGGGGGGCTTCAAGTAAAGTATCCCCAAATTTTAAAGAAAGCGTTTCAAAATCTCAAAGTTTCGACTCGACAGACTTTGGACAGAGATTTCTTCAATTTGCAAAAAATACTCGTCTGGTTTAGGCGCTTGTGGTGTGCACAGACAGACAGACGTGCAGACGGGCATTTCTGTTAAAATCTTTCGCAGCTTTAATTACAAACTATGTACTATGTACATTACTCCGTATACACGTATGTATACGAGGGTGCAATAGCTCACTTTTGAGAATGTCTAAATGTCGCTTGTTTGTTGTGCAAATACATTTTAACTTTTTTAGTGTGAATACCAACGAACTGTTTTTCCGCTCTCAAAATATATTTTTACAAACATATTTTTTTTTAAATTCATTTTTACACTTACTCTTTGTATCCTAAAGAAAACTATGCTATTATTTCTCTCTAAATAAAAAAATTGCTTATTTTCAACAATTCGTTTTATAAATGTATTATTTTTTAGAATTTATAAATCCGGATTCTGCTCATGACGTCTGACGATAGACGTTTTGGTGTATACATCATCCTAGTAACATAATGACATTTTCTTGCCTCTGACAATTCCTTAGAGGAAACCCGAATTGTACGTAATCTTTGTGGCTGCCAACTTTACAATCCCTCCTGCGATGAAACTCGCGCAGAAGAGATGCGATATGGGCGGGTGGGCGAGCGGGGCCGCGGCAGGGGAGGGCCGCCGGAGACCCAGCGGAAATGGCACTGGAATAGCCATTCACTTTCGGTAATTAGTTGGCAGTGCTAATTGAAGCTTATATGGCCCAGAGCCCAATTCCCACACCGAGCCAGCGGCAGGTCGGGGAGGGCGGCGTGGCCCCGTGACGGCAACGTCATTAACACCGAGCGTCAACAGCTCGTCACTGCCCTTCCCTGCCCGCCCCGTCGCGTCGTGTTGCGTTGCGTTGGGCCAAACTCTGCCGTGTCAACGGAATGTTCTCGGACCTTCATTTCCCGTATAACGCTGCCGCTGCCAAGGCTACTTCTAGGAAAGGTAGAAACACGCTTAGAAGGGAGCTTTTGCACGGAGTATTGTGAAATGAGATGATGGAGAAGAAAGGAGGGTATATGGTGAAGTGTGTATGATAACAAACTCGGTATTTCTCTGACATACTCAAAAGTAGTAGCAACCACTTCTGCCTTGAGAGGCAAGTAAACAACGTCACCTGGAATAAACCAATTCAGAACAACCTCTGAACCGTGACCGACTCCAAGGTAATTTATAAGGTGAAGTTTATAATTTTGAGTCTTCCCAGAGTGAGACAAGAACACAAAAACGTTTTCCTCTAGAATATTTTTTTTAAATTCAATACTGGAAGTAATCTTTTAATTTATTTTGTAATTAAGGTAATTGTTGAATGATATACTCGTATAAATTGCAAGTCAGTAAACCTCGTACTAAATCCAGCAACATTTTTAAAGCTTAAGTTCGTCATCCTTCCTTTTCCCTACTACGTTAAAGGCAACAATATGATGTCTTTTTAAGTCATAAAAGCGGTTTGCCCCCCTTTTTTTGTTCTGATTGCGAATACATGGAAGTATTTTCAAACTGTAGAGCGGCGGGAAGAACACTAGACAATCATTGATCTAGTATTTCCGAAAGTGAAAATAAATGAAAAAAGAAACGAGAAATACTTATTGGTAACCGATCGTGGCTGAGTAGTGATTCATTAGAAGGTAGTGGTTACAAAGAAGAAAGTACAAATCGAAGAGAAATATTTAAAATTTGTAAAAAGCCTACAAATCATAAAGATGGTCACTTGGAAAAATATTAGGCTAAATTGCTAGACAAATAGAACACGCAAACAGTGACGAAATAAGCGAAGAATTCATAAAAGCCATCGTCAATTGCTTAGATCAGGTGGGGACACACTGACTGGAACGAAAAAAACGGCTCGCCTGTCCGTCGGTTCGTCCGTCTGTCGGTTCGTCCGTCTGTCGGTTCGTCCGTCCGTCGGTTCGTCCGTCCGTCGGTTCGTCCGTCCGTCGGTTCGTCCGTCTGTCGGTTCGTCCGTCTGTCGGTTCGTCCGTCCGTCTTTAATTTTTCTCGAACAGAACAAAGTAGTCTGGTATAGTTTAATCCACTAAAATATCTCAAAAAGATATGCGAGAACTTTCGCGTGTTAATCCACACCATTTCCCTATCCTTTTAATTAAGAAGGAAAGTGTTAATGCAACGTGTTTACTTGTTAAAAACGTATAAATGTAACTTCGTACTTTTCTCTGTTAGCCAATTTCACATTCCATTAACGGCAAGGGCCTCCTACTCGCGCATGGATTATTAATCCTTCTTTAATGAAGTGATTGGATGATGATGAAGGGACGATCACAAATACATCCATACCCTAGGTAAGATTCGAACTCGCGATCCTTCGATCCGAGATCGCAACGACACTACTGTCTAACATTTATATCTTGCGTCTGGATTGTGATCGGTGGCAGTGGTCGAGTGACTTGGGCTATTCTTTCTATAATTTTAAATTTAGTTGCATTCTTAAATTCAATCACGTAGTATTGTAGGGTAGCGCGTTTTGATATTTGTGGTTCATTTATTTCGAGCGGTTTTACTTTAGTTCACTTTGAAAGTTTGTTCGTTGTGTTGTGCCATAGCACAAATTTACCCTTACTACCTCACCGTGCGAGAACTATCGCATGTTACACCTCCCACTCTTCCCTATCTTTCTATTTCTATTCCAAGAAGGGAAAGATACGAACAAAACGTATTTATTAATAAATGTAAAAAGGAAACCTGCAATGTACTAACTACAAACGTACTAACAATATCAAAAATTAAAAACAATGAAAATGATGTTGAAAAAAAATTTCAAAAACGATTTATTCATTATGATCGAGAGATTACTTGGAACAATTCACAACACTACTTTAAAATATTTGAAGTAATTATTC